CTCATAAAATTTGTCAGTGAGCGTACATTTCAAATAGACATTTCTAATGCTGCAAAATGGATACAACGATTTTTGAATTTTATGAGTACTATCGCATGCTGTGTGATACTAGTTCTTTGTATCAAAACARCAAGAAGACTGCGTACACCTCGAACCATTGAAAGCCATGTTAGTGAAGAACAGCGAAACATTCGAGCAACCCGAACACGAGCAGCCGTTCGAATGGTCCTTGCATCTGTGTTGCTGTATTTTTGCTGCTTTATCTTCACATTTGTGCTTAACTCCACTGGATTTTTTACTGGRTTTTATAGCCCACTTGGCATAACGYATGAAAATWGGTTCTGTCCAAAAAGTAACGCCGAAAACGCTTTGGTAATTTTTGTCATTATCGTATTCAATTTTCTCCCAGCCGTCAATTCCTTCCTTAGTCCGTGGATCTATGTCATATTTCTGCCTGACTTTCGAGCAGCTGCAAAAAAGGTTGTGTGCTTTCGAAAGGCAGCTATGAATCAGTCACCTAACACAATGTCTTCTRTCATTGAGCTTCAGGCAATGCCAAACTCGTCAGTCGGGCCTGGAAACAGACTAAATCCTGATGAAGATTAAGGGGGCTTTCCATTTACTAATAGTCAGAACTGGTAGGCCAGACAGGTCTATTTTAAAGTTAATTTTCCAAGCTTTCGATAACACAACTGGATAAAGTTGTATTTTTCTGTTGGCACAGGATTATCTAATAATGGATTTGTCTTTTTATCACGCCCATCACTTTTGAAAACTCGATATCGACTTAGTAAGAAACACATTTTTGGACAAAAAATATACATTGGAAGAAAGAACGCTTTCCAAAAGTTTGAAATATGTGTCCAAAGATGCACATATTTCTGCCTCGCTTTAACGTCGATCTAGTCGATTATCAAAAGTCATGCATTATTGGCGTCCTATAAGAGCCAACAACAAAAACAAAACAAAACAATAATCTAAAAAAAAGTCCACCTAGTTTTATTCGGTCTTTCCATTGTTGTGATAGACAGAGCAAAAGGGACAAGTTAAAGCACAGTATTTGAAAACTTGGTTTCTGTACCATTTGATGCTGTATGTTTTGAAAACAAGGTCTGTCAACGTCTTGCGCGAGATTCGCCGACAGCAGGGCTGTAGATGTAAGATATTAGTAGGGACAGGGAGCAGAAAAAAATGATTGCAAGTGATTGCATTTAAATTTCATATTAAAAAATTTAATTCTTATGCTAAAAACAGAATAATGAACTGATTGCACCGCTGGAAGTTTGTCCTGTCTAAATTACATATACATGATGATATTAAAGTGCTTATTAAAGTTCTCCAACGCAGGCCAGATCAAACTGATTTTAAGAGAATCGAAAAAAAATATTTAGCTATGGGACTGATTGACAATCTAATCTATTATTATCATGTACATTTAAGAAATTAAGTTTATTTTAATTAAAAGCTGCTGGATATCAAAAATTGAGATTTGGTTGTAAATTGCTTTAATTCTTGAGATCCAATCAAGCATATGCATTTAGAACTGATATAGAAATAAAGAAAAGTTATATATAGTGCTAGAAAGGAGGTTATTCCGGGAGAAAGACCCCTACTGGAAATTAATTCGGAAAGCTTAATTTCAGAACTTGCTGGGATTCGAACCCACGACCCTCGGATTTGTACTACCGATGCTCTATAAAAGCTGATGCTATACATTTGGAAGTGACAAGATTGAAAGAATATATAAATAAATCTATACAAAAAATAACCTCTATGTACCAACTTTCTGAGAGGAATTTATAAATATATCGTCGTATGGCAGTATATCAATTCGACCTTTTAAATCAAACTGCTTTGTAACAGTTGTTTGAAATTTAATTTGTTAATATTACAAATATCAAATTATATAATGGTGACGAATTCATTTCAACAAGAGGCTCATTCCAGTAGCCAGAGACTTTTAATAAATTGATCTGAATTTTCCTGTACATACGGCTTAGTGTAATGACTTTCTGTGAGTGAATATTTTCGTAGCTGAGTGACATTCAAAAATACATTAAAATTACTGGCTTCGATAACCTAAAAAAAGCATMTTTCCTAAATTTCTTACTACGTGAGGCCGGTTCATAGCCACCTCTTAGGGCCCAATGATCAAAGAAACATAAACGGACATAAATAACTAAAACTTTATATTAATATAACTACAACTAAAAAAATATACGTAACTAAAGCAGCATTCTTCAACTGAAAGAAAGTTCATATTTATATATTTTCTTCACTCAAGCATCTCGTTAGTAAATGGACTTGTTGATGCATAGGGAATC